CAGTTCAGATTTAATACTTTCAATGAGAGTTTGGTGCTACCAAGCTAAAATAGATCTCCGTTTACGGATATAACCGCACGAATAGACAGTGGTAATCAAAGTGTGATGCTTTAGCACCGGTGTAAAAAAACTCATATCCGCACGTCTGTATCATTACAGTCAGAGCGTAGCTTTAGCAGCGTAGCATGTGAGTATAATTGAATAAAGTCATTTGCAGTACGACGACGACGACGATGACGAAGACGAGGACGAGGAAGCCCTGACATTGAAACAGGGAAGTAGGTGTAGTGCTAACACTTTTCTGATGATACTACGTCACAGAAGTTAAACCTAGTACATTTCATGCGGAAGGTTTCAGTTAACTGTGGTAACAAAAACTCAATCTTTTATCTTGATACAAATTCCAGATGCACTTCTTGTACAATTTTCCTTGCGTTCAACTCAAAACTATGGTAAGAAATGCTTATTAGAAAGCCAATGGGCGAAAAGGCTTGAGTTTGATTCCAGTAAAGCAGCGATATCTTGAGTTTGTTTCACGAGAAATGACTAATATTTTTCCCTCAAAAGAAGAGAATACCTTCGGTATAAAATGAAATGAGTTACCGTTTTGTGACGGAAGATTACCCGAATCGTGTAGATGATTCCAGCTTGGCAGACACAGACACAAAATGTTTGCAGCATGTACCGCTACTGCGGCTGCTATAGCAACGGCAGCTGAAGAGTCACGTGTGCACTGTTGCAGATGCAACCGCTGCCTTCTCCTCAACTGCTTTCCGCTCAGCTGGCCTCAGTTCAGTTGGCTTCGAGCTCTCAATCTAGCTGAATGAAGAATCCTAATTATTATCATCAGCGGCATTTGTGTACCTCACTCAAGACACCTCACCAGACACTTATCAACTCGTGACTCTCCTCTCTTCACTTCACTCTCCCCTCACTGCTGAGTCAATCGNTGAAGAGTCACGTGTGCACTGTTGCAGATGCAACCGCTGCCTTCTCCTCAACTGCTTTCCGCTCAGCTGGCCTCAGTTCAGTTGGCTTCGAGCTCTCAATCTAGCTGAATGAAGAATCCTAATTATTATCATCAGCGGCATTTGTGTACCTCACTCAAGACACCTCACCAAACACTTATCAACTCGTGACTCTCCTCTCTTCACTTCACTCTCCCCTCACTGCTGAGTCAATCAGATCAATCTCGGCACTCAACTTTTGCTCATCACACAGTGGCTTTCTGTTTACATTCACCTCTGCACTGGCGATATTTGTTTTGCTCCTTGCCTTATCCCCTGCTCTTTCCTCTGTGTTTTGTGAGCAAACACCCTTTTCCCTGCTTTTTGGAAGCCGGAGTTACCGCTGATTGCCTGCAATTCACATCTAGAAGTTTCTAGAATTCTCTGCAAGAGCGAACACTGTTTTTGTTCATCATTGCACTGGCAACTGATTTAGAAGGCGTGCATTTCTCAGATTGCACTATCTCAAAGAAGATGCTCGCTTTTGAAACCGTATGATGAAGCACATGTTTAAATTAAGGACAGACATCTGATTGATAGNCAACTGATTTAGAAGGCGTGCATTTCTCTGATTGCACTATCTCAAAGAAGATGCTCGCTTTTGAAACCGTATGATGAAGCACATGTTTAAATTAAGGACAGACATCTGATTGATACCAATCGTAACTAGAGGATTTGCCCTGTCGTATCGTCTTTCAGTCAATTGAATAGTGTGACTCACCGCCGCCTCGTGACCTACCAACCAACACCACAAGTGACGATTTTTTTAATTGCCTCAACCCAGCTTCAAACCAGTTTTTACGCAAAGCGGCAAATCTAATCGATTGATCCGCTAATTGAACAATTAGAAAAGTAAGTTCTACTTTTAGTTGGCAATAAGTATACCAAACATTAACTCGCTTTTTTCTTTCAGTTTGCATTCAGAATGTCACTTTCCGTTTCGCTGATTGATTCATCAATTGAATCACTCTTTTTGATCGTCTCTCGCTCTGTTATTTACGCATTCAAAGGCTACTTGGCTTTTTACATTCTCTGCTGCTGCCACGAAGTGCTTGAAGACCACAGAGAAGGAACCGTGAATGCTAGAGAAAAATTCACCAATGCCCTCATCTCTACTCTGATTCTCGCGCTGACTTTTGTTGGCCTATACGGGATTTTCACTTCTCATTTTGGACTTTTCCTTACATGGTTGCTGCTCAAGCCTGTGATACGAATTTTCGAGTTGGAGAGTACAATGTGGTCCGCTCTAGCCATGTCGGTCATTGCAAGTGGATGGACACTTTGCTTCTTCACATATGAATCCTTTAAAAATAGCTATTCTTTTTTCGCCTTTTGAAAACTCTTGGCTCCATCATCAAAACTTATTGTGAATATTTTGTTACTATTTGTGATATAACTTATCCCATTATTTTTTTACTTTATGACATTTTAAAATTGTAAAATACACTTGACCATAAATAAAGCTTTTTGAAATGTACTTTGCGGCCAAGTCGGAAAATGTACGATATTTTTGTAATTACGGGTACTCCACGCTTTGGCTGTACAAATGCAGCCGAAATACAGCGGACTGAGCTTTCCAGCAGCCTTTGTCTGTGCTTCTCACTTGGCTCCACCTTCGTCGACAACAGTTTATCGCGCACAGGACAGCTGACAAAAAATGTAAACACTTTTAGTTTATGACATCGCAAAAGATACTTTGAACCGATGAAAGTTCTAGTTTGCTCCAGAAAGGAGGTAAGTTCGGGAACCGTTTTTTGAGAAAAATGTTATCAAAGTAACTGTTCAACTTAATTTGCACCAGTAATAATGTTCACCGACAACTTGCCGCTTACAATTGACCAGACAAGTAGCCTTTCTGATGATAATGACTTTTCCATATCAAATGATTCTTCATCGCCGTTTTCCAACACCACTGCACCCTCGAGCTCAAATTCTACTGAACCTGAAATCTCAAACCTCACAGAATCATTGGATGATCTCGACTTCGTCAACGAGGTTTGTACGACCGACCTTTGTTACCTCATTTTATAACTATATTTCTTTGTTTTCTTCTAGGATTTAACCATTGCTAATCGACTGTTTGATAACATTTTTGATAGTTATCTCCTAGGAGTCATTTTACAAAACTACAGGATGGCAAAAACTAGTTGCATTAAAATTCTAGAAGAAAATATCACTCAAAATACTTCTGAAGCATCAGAAACTTCAATAAAAACGTATGTTTCTGGACTATCATCAACAACCGCAGCTGTTTTCTTACTTAATTTTTTTCCTAGCGAAACTTCTCAGCAATCTAAACCAAATAGGACAAACAAAAAACGTGGTAATTTTGTTTCCATCTGTTTGAAAATGCATATTATGAAATTAATGGGATTCTTTTTATAAAATTGCAGATATTTCAAACGTCGATATATTAGGAAACTCCTTAGCATCCATTCGGAAGATTGAATGCGTCTGTCCATCTTGTAAGCGCAGTTTAGCCGCCTCCCGGCTAGCACCACATTTGGAGAAATGTATGGGCATGGGTCGAAATGCATCTCGGGTGGCATCCAAGAGAATAGCGCTATTTACTAAAACTCTAAATGGTGATTAAGTTATGGACGTGGTCCAGCTTTAAGTTTATCTGTTGTTTACAGATGAAAAGTAGGCACTGTTAACCAATTTCCTGTAAATAAACTTTACTTTCGATTATGTGGTCGCTGTTGTTGCCTTACAGCCTGTCAATGTGTGTGTGCCTGTGTGCATTGCCTAAATCGCAGGTGGCAATCGGTGTTACTCCGCCATATCTCACTGCTTCCATTACCTGTGCTGTGTCTGGTCGACAGACTGTCCTCTCAGCTCAACTGCTGACACTGCTGATCCTCACAATGTGAGCCGCCTGGAAAGCAGTCAGATTACGCACTGCCTGACTGCTTGTTGCAGCTTACCGGTAGCCAGAGAAGCAAAAATCCCGTCTCCTTCTCAAGTGTGCCCTGCATATCTGCCATATCAGCACCCACAAAGGGCCAAACGCTCTCACCCTTTGGCACTAGTTCGGTACGATTCACTGTCTGAGTGAGTGAGTGACTTTGCTGCACTAAATTACTATACATTACCACCTAGCACAGAGCAATTCGGAGAAAGTGAACAAAAATGGAGCTGGACAAAGTGCCCAGTCCGTATATCCTGATGTTGCTGGTGGCAGTTCTGGCGGTGATTTCCTTCTTCCTCGGCTGGCTTTTTGCCTACCTCAAGAAGTGGCCATTTAAGCACTCTGACGACGGCAGCGATATGGATGTGCCCATCGTTGAGTAGTGCGGCACTGTGCGCCGCCAATATACGCCCACTGCACCTCGACCAGGCAGGCAAAGAAAGTGCACTACTTGTCAAGTAGTGCTGTCGTAAAGTGGCAACAACTGAGCCTGTCATTGCACAAACTCAACTCAAACTCAATAAACGGAATTATGGCAGTCGCCGGTGACATTGGACCGAGTGATACGTCTAATTAATCGCCTGTCGTCATATGTCTGTCGCCTTTGCACTAATGACTTTCTCTCTATTGCTCTCACTTTGGACTACTTTCACCCTCGAGGGTGCTGCTCATTTGCTCGTCTCTGATTCACCAAATTATCGATTTATATACTAAGATGATCATTGCAATTATCATATAATGCATTTAGTTGAAACATGTACAGGCAGAGTAGCAATTACTACTGCTAGTCTCAAGTAACAGCTGAGTACTATTTGTTCTATTTGACTGGTCGCGTTGAACGCTGACAAGTGAGACTAGACCAGTCAGGTATGGCACAGATAGCGACACCATAGGAAACTTGGACAGGTGCTCGATTTATGGCGCTCAATGCAGCACCTTTTTGCAGGTCTAACCTGAAAGAGTGTACCGGTGGTGCAGCAACAGAGAAAATGGATCCCTGAAAAGAAGGCTAGAAGGGACATTTCTGGACCAGCGACATTAACATTAGTGAGAATTCGCCAGTGCCAATTGAGGATGACCACTTCTGCTGCTGCTGCTGTTGTGTCTACCTGAGAGACGATTGAATAGAGCACACACCATTGACTTTACGACACTGAGCAATTGTAGTGGTAATGGTAATTGCTCATGTATGAGCATCTCTTAGCGATAAAGTACAGCTATTCATATATTGATGGGAGCCGTAATTAAAGGCAACCATCGCTGATACCGTTGGCTGCCGTTGCTGCTGAGCAGCAGGTTCTTTCTCCCTGCATCTTAATTGGCTCCTTTGCAGTCTGCTGCTTCCACCATCACAGCTGCACCGGCCCAGGCGTTACCACCACACCAACTGTCGCCGACTTGATTGAACGTCCAACTGACTACTTTCATTTGTCTGTCTGTCTACTGATCACTCAACACCCACCCAACACACACTCACACCTGAAGACGATGGCCACCACTAATGGCGATGTTCACATTGAAACTGCAGCTTCCTTCGCAAAGGACTACCTAGATGATCTTTTCAACAATAATAAGGTAAAATATTGCTGAGATATTTAAACGATGTTAGGAATTTCTTTGCAATCTCGTTTTTAGTTTTTACCTAAGCTGCCTCAAACAAATGTAATAATTAAAATATTAATTTTTTCACTCACTAGAACTTGTCTGCTTTTGAGGAAGAAACGCTTGATTTGAACATTACCAGCAAGTATGATAACCTCAGTCTCGAGGAGGAGGCAGAAACACAACACCCAGGGGAAGGAAGTGCCTTTGTCAGTGCCACTGAAAGCATTCCCGAGCCGGCAGTTGANGAGATATTTAAACGATGTTAGGAATTTCTTTGCAATCTCGTTTTTAGTTTTTACCTAAGCTGCCTCAAACAAATGTAATAATTAAAATATTAATTTTTTCACTCACTAGAACTTGTCTGCTTTTGAGGAAGAAACGCTTGATTTGAACATTACCAGCAAGTATGATAACCTCAGTCTCGAGGAGGAGGCAGAAACACAACACCCAGGGGAAGGAAGTGCCTTTGTCAGTGCCACTGAAAGCATTCCCGAGCCGGCAGTTGAGCATGCCTCAGTTCCGGAGGCTGCACCAGCTGAGACTGCATTCGAAGAAGAGGCTAATGGCGAAACTGCAGTCAAATCTATTGCCGAAACTGCAGTGGAATCTGTTGTCGAAACTGCGGTAGAGACTGTTGTTGAACACAAGGAAAGTACTGTGCACAAGGAGGACATTCCTGAGCCGGGACACGAGACGCTTCAAGTGAATGGTGATGTTGTTGCTGAAAAGGTAGTGGTCGCCGAGCAGAATGGTCACTTGGAAAGTGAGGTTGTTGAGCCTGGTCATTCGCACTTTAGCTCTGAGTCACCTGAGCCAGCGGTCGTTGTTGAAAAAGTGGCCCAACTAAATGCGCATGAAGAGCCGGCTGTTCTGGAGCCTGGTCTGACCAGCTTCTCTTCCACAACCGTTGCAGTCACTGAAGAGGAAGCGGCAGAGAGTGAGGACGTTGTTACGCCGATTCCCATGTCACGCGCAAAGGCATCTAAATTGAGTGAAGACGAAGAGCTCGACCAGATTGCCGAGGATATGAACTTTAAGAAGGTTGGTCTGAGCAAGAGCTGGTGGGACTCTAAACGCACTGAAACCGAGGACACAAAAGAGAAAGCCCCACCGGCGGACAAATTCAAAACCATCAAGCAGAACATTCGAAAGGGAAACACGAGATCACTGCTGGAGCGCTTTGAAAACATGACCAGTCATTGAAAAGGTTTTGAATCGACTATGTTTGTTTTATTTAAAGCTAATGAGTGAGAAAAAAGAATCAGCTTACACAACATTTACCGCATTTAACTGAGATTGTTAACAAAAAAAGATACAAAAATATATTGATACAAATTAAAGCCAAACTGTATGCCAATAAAGCGAGTATTCAAGAGACAGTACAAGTTTGGCTAAAGGAGATTGACAAAAATGAGTGTGCTGTGAAGCTTAGATGAGGCCACCGAGGCCTCCCATCATGCCACCTAGGCCTCCGCCTCCGCCCATGCCTCCCATGCCCATGCCACCCATGCCACCCATGCCACCCATGCCGCCCATGCCCATAGCATGGCCGCCACCCATTCCAAAGGCAGCGCTACCCTTAAGCAGGTCCAGTGCCATGCCCTTGTGCATGCCTTTGGCAGCAAATTTACCAACGGGAGGTAGGAAGAAGGGCTCACTAATAGTAAAAAATGAATTAATTAGTAAAACCAATAACTAATAATCATTAATCAAAAATTAGATTACTGTATGATGGGTTGGTGAATGAACGGCAATGGAACAGGCAAAGGAAAAGGTACCTAAAACAAAAAATTATTTGATTAATTAAAAGAATCAATTTAAAGTAACAGAAAACAAAAAACCAATTTTTTTTAAATTCAAAGTTAGAGTTAAAATTTGTAACTTTGATCATGAATGCAGCTTGTCAAAACGATCACAATGGTATATAAAACTAAATGTTTACATTTTTAAAAAGTTTTAAAATGGCGCTTAAAATTGGCTTGAGTTTAATTGAATCGAAATGCATTGCAAAACGCCCCCTATTTGCACATAGCACATGTTTGCATTCATCGAACAAAATTATGCCCCCTTGAACAAATCAAATCCCCTTCAGGCAACATTAATAAAACATGTAACATTTATTTACCATTGAGATCATCTTGGCAAACTGAATCTTTGAACAAAGTTTCGAGTTTTTGCTTTCAATTATTAAAATTTGATTTTCCCTTTTTCTACCTTGTCAATTACTTACCACTTTCTTCTTGCTCAAACCGGCCATTGCGGCAAGGGCAAGACCCTTAGTGATGTAGTGTTTCTCTTTTTTCATAAATTTCAGCAGGTGTTTTGCGAATCTCTTGTGGTATTTATAGGATCCTTCAACAGACACAAATACAAAGCACAAACAAAGGAGCACAAAACCAAGAAGTATCCACTTGTTGGTTCTTGATTTACCTAGGCCAATCATGGTGCTTGTTGGCCTAGTACAGCAGCTAACACAGATGGTGGTGGTGGTGGACAGAGGCACTTGCACAAATCAGCTATTTGGTTTGCGCAGTCGGCATGAGTAACTGAGACGACGAGATAGCGATGACGTTCGAAATGAAACTCCAGCGAACAGGGAAGAAAGGCTTTTATATTTGCGCCGCTATGTGCGCTTTCTCACGACCCATTGAACGAGAGAAAAGACACTGTTGCAAGATACTACTGACTACTAATTCTGTTCGATATCTGCTTGGTCAGCTAACAATGCGGAATTGGTCGGCATGCAGTGGTAAGCTGAGTGCTCTTCACTGGACTTTGCACTTCACTGTCCAGGGAAAGTGTACCACTGCCTGAGTGGTGAAATTGCAGGAGGCAGGAGAGCATGAAAACAATTAGGGCGCATTTTGGGTGCAATCGTACGGCCTGCGGGCACGATAAGTGAGCAACAAATTAGCAAGTTGGTAAGGTGAGGTGGTAAGGTGGTCAGGACGGTGTGACAGTGCCAGTGTGGTGGGATCGACGGACGACGGCACACCGAGTGTGAATCTCGCTTTGTCCGAAGAAGTCGGCAGTCAAAGTCAGCTGTCGGCGACATTGCACCGCAACTGATTGCAGTGGTCAGTGCGGCGGTGGTGACGGTGCTGCACGGGCAGTGCAGTCCAGTGCTCAGTCGGTGAGTGAATGGCTCTGCTCTGTCCGCCACCCGTGACCGGACAGCGGAAAAGCGTCCGAACAGTGCGAACAGGTGTGCACCAGTGTCACTGGCGAGCGATTACCACCGCCTTGCCGGCCATTAAATCAGACACACTGTCACTGGCGGTGAGATCTCCCACCAGTGCGCTTGTCTTTCTTCCTTTCCTCCTGGTCTTGGTTTGGCTCATTTGGATTTTTGCTTTTTGCTTCCTACATACTTTTGGTCAATTACATTAATCAGAATGCACAATTTGCATTTGTCGTTGGCTTTCATTTGCAACTTTTTTCCTTTTTGCAGCCGCATTGCCTTTTTGATTCCGGTTTCTCATTACCATTACCAATGGTCTTTGTCACTCTCTCCTATATGCTGATCTTGCTTTCGGATTTGTGCCACTGATTTAGTGCCAAGTAGATCACCTGAGAATGGTTTAGTATAAAAGGAAAACTTTGCTCGTTTACAGTTTTACTCGATCTGAAAAGCCAAGCTCACAAAAATCTATTGGTAAACTATGACAACCAGTCAAAGGTTTTGGACTTTTGTTGCCCTGTGTCTTTTCGCCTCCCTCTGGTCACCTATCGACGCATCGAGGACCAAACGAAATGTCATCAATCGCATCATCAAGAAGAAAGGCATCGCAGCAGCAGCGACAGCATTCGTGGCCGCAGCTTCAATGACCAAAAAGAAGTTTCTTCCCATTCCAATAGTCTTCCCGCTAAGGTATAATGCCTGTGATTGCACTGTTAACCTTTTCTAACAACCTACAGTATAACCCCTACAGTATAATGAAGCCTCCAATAGTGGAGACTGTGCCCGTTCCTCCTCCTTTTGTTGGAAAGTTTGGATCGATTCACAATATGATGGGCCATTCTCCCATGATGGGCTATCATGGAGGAGGTAATTAAATGCTTACAATTGAGTAAAAAAACTAAACTAATTTTGTCATTACTCTTGAAGGAATGGGCATGGGCGGAGGAATGGGTAAACAGTGTTCAAAGTGTGATCTTCTTTTCCCTAAACTAACCACTGTTCAATCTTTTCACAGGTTTCGGTATCGGCCGCTAAGTTTGACGTATTGCCTCATTTTCTTTCTGCTTGTGCTGGCCACCAGCAGCAGCAATCGACAAATCAAACCATTTTTATTTCGTTTTTACTCCATATCAATTTCACTATAAATAAAGTTAAAGTTTTACAAATTACGGAATGCCAAAGACAATACTTGAAAGTGGAAAAAAACGACAGAAATAGTCTCATAAATTGGCTGACAGATAGTCAATTGGCCCACTCCGTGGTTGGTATCAGCATGTGTAGTGTGAACAAATTACGGCCGTAAAATTATGGCAAAGTTACTTAAGTAGAGGCAGCAATTTGAGAATGAAAGGAACTCTCTGCTCAGTGACAAATCACCTGCTGACTATTTCTTCTTTGACTTATCCACCATCTTGTTGCTCATTACGCCGTGCATCAACGTGCTATTGCCCAGGACGGCAGCTTTTTTGGCAATGAAAGCGCTGATTTCCTCTTCTATTTGCATCTTCTCCATCTCAAGTTTCTTTTTAATTTCGGCACTTTCGCGTTTCATACGATCAAATCGGCTGTGAAGTTCTCGTTCATTTTCTTTCAACTCTTGCTCCTTTTCTTTGACTCTCTGCACAAAAGCGGCACGCATCTCTTCTTCGCGCTTCTGCAGTGCATCCATGTGAGCCTGGCGACGAGTTTCAAAAGTTTCCTTGAAGCTAGTGGAGTGACCATTCCCGACGGCTGATCCATCGACGCCATTTTCAGCAGTACCGAAACCCATTTGCTCCAGACGCACCCTTCGGTAGTGCTCGTAGTGCTGAGAGTGAGTTGTCTCACGAAGATCATCCATATTGACTCGAATCACCATGTCTCGCAGTCGAACAAAATCGCAGTGGCTCTCATTTTCAACTAAAAGAAGAGTTTCATTAGCTCCAAATGTACAGCTCTAAGCGACAAAAAAGGTATTACCATGAACACTACCCCAGGGGTATTGTCGAGCGCGAATGTGCTTGCTTCCAATGCGAATAAAGTCATTGCTAGCCACAACGGCAAATGGCATCAACGCGTTGTTTGTGGAATTAATATCGGCCACTTCAGGGTCATCAACCGGAAACTTGTAATACTCGATTCCGTTGACGTTCAATTCATTGGTAATTCGTGCGCGAAGTTTCTCCAGCTCTGTCTTTGTGATGGTGTCTGATTTACCAATAATTGGAATCAAATTCACTTTGTTGTGCAAAGCCTTCATAGTGACCAGATCCAGTGAACGAAGACCGTGTCCAACCGGAGAGAGAATGTACAGACAGCAGTGAATTCTGGTGTCTGAAAGAGTGCTCTGTGAGCGATGAATTTTGAGCTCCTCTTGCAAGTACTTTTCAAATTGAGCATCAATGTACTCGACAATAGGTTTATGTGATTCCGCTGTAGAAAAAGGATAGAAAAGTTAAGCATTTTTTAAAATTAGAAAAAGCAAACTTACATTTATCAATTTGATCGCCGAATCCTTTTGACTCTACCAAAGTCAACTTGAGCTTAATGTTGCCTTCACACAGTTCCATCAGATGATTTGATACTGACACATTTGAAAGGTTGTGGCTGCGAGTACTACTGTCAGCTTGCGTTTTGGTGTTGAACAGAGCCTCGAGAAGGGTCGTCTTGCCGACTCCAGTCGCTCCGAGAGCCAGTATGTTGTAGCAAAAGCCATCGCGAATAATGCGTGAAACGTACTGATCTGGCAATGAATCGTAGCCAACGTAGCCTTCAGGACGCAAAATTCGGGATCCATTCGGAGAGCCATTGGTAGTGGACACCGGCTGAACTCCGTTGGTGGCGTTGCCATTGGTAGTAGAAGTGGCGACCATGATTTTAGGTTTGGCAATGGCGCTCGGCTTAGGAGCGGTGGCTGGCTGACTAGGTGGCGGCGGCGGGGGAGGATTCATGTTCATGTTTTCGCTTGCCATGACACCCGGCGACGGGAATTCAATGGGATGCTGCTGGAACAGAGAGCAAAGGAAGAGACGCCAGAAGAGACCGCAAACAAGCGAGGCAAACTGACAATGTGTTTTGAAAAAGTAAACGTACAGGCAAAAAGTGGCCCAGCCCAGTTGCCCATTCAGCTATGACAGTACCAAGCTACAAGCGCGCGCTCACGTAACGTTCAATGTACAAGGCAGCATTGAACAGCAGCGGATTTGATTCAACGGCCACCTCACCCTCTACCACAAAATGCAGATAAGAGGAAAACTATGACTCACTGAGATGACCTTTGAGTTGGAGGGACCTCTTTTCTGATAAGGCCCCTTGAATAAGCAAGAAAGGAGCGATGCGTCAGTGTCAATGGTAATGGAAAGCATATTTTATTAGATGAAGCAGTGCCAAAGAGGAATGAAATGTTTGCTGGAGTGTGTGTGCGTGTGTGACAAAATGACAAATGCTGTTGTTCTACTACTATTAATCTTTAAGGAGCCTTTATTAGTGGTAATCGAGATCGCTTCTTCCAAAAGCAGCAGCAGCAGCGGACAGTATAAAGTTGCATGCCAAGTGAAAATGGAAACGAAAAGGAGCACACATCGTTTCCAAAAGAGTGATCACTTCAACTTTTGGATACTTTGCAATGGTTAGCGAAGAAAGAGAGAAGAACACTAAGACAAAGAAGAAGAAAAAGTGAAGTAGGAAATGTACAATTGATAAGAGAAAGAGAGAGAGAGAGAGAGAGACAACAAAAAGACAACAAACGCAAACAAAGCCAGACAGAGAGGGGAAAGAACACGGACAAGGAAAGAGGAGCAGAAGAGCAGGAAGTGGAGAAGGACCATCCGAGGAGGGGGACAACAGTGGTGTCAGCAGTCAGTCAGTGAGGAATGTGATGTGATGATGTGAGATTGCGGCGAATTCCACAACCATCTGCTGCCATGTACGCATACTTAGGTCGCACAGAGGAGGGGAATATCAAGTTGGCACTACTCAGAAACGCATGCCTTCGCCCTCGAGGATGTCTCGATTGCCGCTGCGGTCACTCCGTCGCTCGTACGAGTTGGTAAAGTCAATGTTGAAGGGGTAAAAGTTGAGGAGGTGCCCGGGAAAGTACCGCTTGCTTTTGTCCACCTCTTCAAGGCGCTCTTGGGGCCCCGTCAGATTACTTTCTGACTTTCTGCGGAAACGCATTCCCTCGTCGTTCAGCAGTGAGGAGCCGCCTTTCTTAAATCTCATGCCCTCCTCATCGAGAAGAGATGATGCGCTGCCCTTCTTGAATCGCATGCCCTCTTCGTCCAACAGCGAAGAGCCGTCCTTTTTGAAGCGAAGTCCTTCTCCTTCGAGAACTGACTTGCGGATGATTGCATTGCGATTCATCAAGTTGCTGCTGCCGCCTCCGCTGCCACCACTGTTGCCCATTCCGGTCAGTGCTGACTTTCGCCGGAAGCGCATTCCTTCGTCGTTCAGGAGGGAAGATGCGCCCTTCTTGAATCTCATTCCTTCCTCATTCAGCAGGGAGGACCCTTTCTTAAATCTCATGCCCTCATCATTCAGCAGAGAGGAGCCCTTCTTGAATCTCATGCCCTCCTCGTCGAGCAGTGATGAGCTGCCCTTCTTAAAGCGCATGCCCTCGTCGTCCAGTAGTTCTCCCTTCTTGAACCTCATTCCCTCTTCATCGAGCAGTGATGAACCTCCTGATCCTTTTTTGAATCTCATTCCTTCTTCCTCTAACAAGGACGATTTTTTGTCTTTTGAGGCGTCTGGCAAGAGAAAGAAAAGAAAAGAGGAAATCCGGATTAGAGCAATTACTATAAAGGAGAACCGTGAAAGAGTACTCATTCAATTGCGTCACAGTTGCACTTTACCATGTAGAACTTATCTGTGGTACAAGGGACACTTGTGTGTGTGTGTGAGCACCGGAAAGCCAATTTCGCCTAACCTAACCGCAGGCAACCAAGAGGCAAGGCGAATTAATTTGCCGTTTTATTTACCATCCACTGATCGATTTCAGATTGCCTCTGCCTTGCCGTATGTGTGGCCCTTCCACTGTCAACGACTTGTCACACTTTTCAAGTGGATGCTCAGTGCCTGCCACTGACTTCTGGTGCTCATTTTGCTAATTGACTGTCACCGAATGCCCTCTGACAGCACTGTCCCCACTCATTCTCCTTCATTGTAGTGACCGCCACTGTCGCCCAGTTTTGGTTTGTGCCTTTGTTGCCGGTGGCAGTGAATGCGACAGCAAAATAAATACTAGACAGTTTAATTATTAATTAGCAAATATTTGACTGGATGCATTGGTGGCAGTCAAAAGTGGCCATCACATCGGCTGAGTTTGATAACGGAAAACAAATTTTCGATTAAACTTATTTACACTGTGCTCTGCTGTACAATAAGTCCGATTTGACTTATTGAAATGATCGAGTGAAGTGTGCTCCCAGTGCTGGCAGCCTGTGGAGGATGGCGTCAGCAGTGCTTGTTTGCATTGCAAATATAATGCCGCCAACTGCAAACAACAGTCAGGTCGAGTTGATGGACCAAGGACGCCGATGATCAGCGGTGAGGAGGGTACTATGATCAGGCTGCAAGACAGTAGTGCCCACTACCGGTGCTGCCTTGGTGCACCAACTTCACTTGAAAAACAATTTATCTGGGCACTTTCTGCACTCTCGCGCACTGGCGCGCCATTCCCATTCTAAGGTGGCAGGTCTCACCAAGTGCAGATGATGATGATGATGGTGCTGGTGGCGTTGGTAGCAAGGGAGGCATCATCATATCGTCAAGTGGAGTGCTGGTGGCCAAGTGGCCGACATGATCATAAATAGGTGAACAGTGAATGGGCTCATTTGCCAGCAGACACACGTTCGGACTCAACTAGCACTATTGCCTAGCGTTTAACAAGATTATGTGCCAATATATTTCCGCCAAATATGACCCGCGCTTTGAATTTTAACGAACATTGAACACTTTCCGATCTCAAGTTATGTTGCGCCAAGACAGAATCGATCAACCAGTTAGATTGCTACTTAGAATGGCTTTTCACTCTTAAAAAACTGCTGATCATACTATCGCTTATTTGGGCCAACAGTTTTGATCATAGTGGTGGAAAGTGTTGCGAGTGCAAATGGACTTTTAGGTGCCTTTCTTTTTCAAGAGAACAAGTTAACAAAATGTAACTTTTTGAAAGAAATAAGTTTTAAAAGAGGCCAATATAATAATTTCGTAAATATTTTTTATCGGCATTTATATTTTGTAATTAACTACAATTTTTCTTTTTGCTGTTGTATAATCAGTAAAGCATAAAATATATCTTTTAAACTTTGCTTTAAAAGAAAATAGACGTTGTAGTAAAAAAAATGTCACAGACCATTGAACACCAACTGCACTAATCTAAACCTATCAGTTTATCAGTTTCAACACTTCAGTTTACAAGTGTGATTATCACGTAAAACTAGTTGATAGTTCAATTGACAACTGACACCTAATGATTAACATTAAAACTTATTAAAAATGCACCTTTTCATTTGCCATTCTCAATCAGCTTACATGGTGATTTTTTTACTGTTTCAGTTGCACTTGTTTGTAAAGCAATTTGAAGCAAAATAAAAAATATTAAGAGATTTGGGTAATGTTTCTAGCGTTTTTAACTAGTGGGCGTTGGTAAGATTTTGGGCAAATAAAACTGGCAGCACTGTCGCTATCTAGCACCTCGTGTGTAGCAATCTGTTTGCTGGTGNACATTAAAACTTATTAAAAATGCACCTTTTCATTTGCCATTCTCAATCAGCTTACATGGTGATTTTTTTACTGTTTCAGTTGCACTTGTTTGTAAAGCAATTTGAAGCAAAATAAAAAATATTAAGAGATTTGGGTAATGTTTCTAGCGTTTTTAACTAGTGGGCGTTGGTAAGATTTTGGGCAAATAAAACTGGCAGCACTGTCGCTATCTAGCACCTCGTGTGTAGCAATCTGTTTGCTGGTGCTGTCTACTCATTTGCATCACTTCACACCAATTGTCACATCGTGTGTTCCTCAATCGTCAATACTTCCAAAATGAATTTCACTCAAGAAAAAAAGGTCTATCATTGAAAAGACGAATAAGATTAATGCGAGCATCAAACCATTCCTTGAAAATCTACCATCTCCAAATACATACCTTGACCAAGTCAAAGCTCGTTTTGTTAAAGAAGCTACCAAGAAAAATGCAGTAAAAGTTGTCGATGAAAAGACTAAAGAAATTGTTGTGACAACAGTGGGGAAAGTTGTCAAAGAAAATGCAGAGGAAAACGTGAAAAATGTGGTGAAAAATGTCAGGAAGAGACCACAGAAAAAACAATTGCCCACTGATTTTCCTAATTCTCCAAACAATCTTATTCCCATTGCTTCAAAAAGGGGTTATAATCTCCGATCTCGAAAGGGGCCACCACAAAAATGATTTTCTTAAAATTAGAATGGCATTCAGAATCCACATAAGTTTTTATTTACATTATTTTTTATTTTCAAATTATTTAACCAAAGGATTACTTTCATTTACTTGTATTTCATTACAAACTAACTTACCTATGTCTTTCAACAATCCAAAGTAAACTTTGTTCTGGCGAGAATCTTTATTCGGTGGAAAGTTGCTGCTAGTTGAAGCCACTTGGAAGATGACCATGACAACAAGTAAGGTGACCAGACAGAGGTTGTCCGCAAAGAACACTCCTCTCACTTGCTTTCTCATGGCTCACTTCAGGTTTGCTAAAGATGGCCTGCAATGCCGAGGGTGGTATGTGATGAGGTAACGAAAAAATGAATGGTTGTTTTATTGTCAAAAAGATGGTGTGTATAAATGCCGAACAGTGTTGTGAAATTACAGTTTTACAATTTGACTGGTAATATCGCAGTCGATCGACGTTGAAAAGTAATTCTGTCGAAAAGATGCTTTTATACCTCTTTTGATGGTAACTCCATTGCAGACAAATGGGCTTACGATGCCATATAACGGAGCAAATGACCTAATCGGTATTACTGGTGGTCGTATATAGTTGTTGAATCTAACACTTGCAACTGGCTAAATTACTCAAGTTATATTTTATTATAGTGCCCGTGCAGCGGTATTTGTTGCTGTTCACCTCGTCATTGAACATACCAAGTGGTAGTCCTCGGTGACGTACGTTCAATGGTTCGACTAAGGCCCTCAAAGAGCACTCTCACTGGACTTGCTGACTCGAACCATGCCAGGAGAAACAGTGGCAAATGTCACTCAGAGAAGAACTCATTGCCTCCTTACTGACATTCACTTCAGCCCCACCACCACCACCGGCCCACCGGAACACTACATGCGACCCAGAGGCTATTGGCAGACAGTTGTCGGAACTGTGGATTTTAGCTCAGTGTTTGTCACTTCTACTATCTACGACTAATGATGATTTCAATTTATGAAAAGCAGTTTCTGTCTGAAACAGAGCTTTGTAATTTTATATCACCGATGCAAATAGTATTAAATTGAAAATTGCCTTCATTTGTCAGTGCTCAAGTTCAAGCAACGTTTATTTGCGAACATCAAAAACAATTTCCATAAATATTTCCTAATAGTTAGCTGAAATCAAATACGTTCAACGCATTTAAAAGTGCGCATTCATCGATTTGTCGCATTTCCTCTCCATAACCTGTAATCAGCGTAATCATTGACAATATTAAAACGCTAATTAATTGATGATCGAAGAAATGAATAGAAATAGGTGATGGGATGGCATGAGAGCGCGGTGTGTGCTGGCTTTTGCCTGCCGCCTTCCTCGTCCCCTTCGGTGGCGGAGGCAATGCAATATTAACATTCACTAAAGCTGTTAATAAGTAATTTAGCAATCAATAATGAATCAGTGTGCCAGTGTGCAGTTCACACCTCACCCACCGCCAGGCAGTGCCCAGTGTGGCCTGCTGTGCCCGAGCACGTCAATGACCAGTGGAGCGCGATCCTTTCACTTCACTGGAAGTGACCGCTGCAGAGAGTGCAGCAGCCGACACACTCGGGTCAGGACACGTTCCCGAGGCCGTGTAAACGGAGTAACTCATTATGAACTCCACTTAATCAGTCTCTGTGTTCAGTGGCATTGCCTCAACTCAGTCCACTAGGCACCTCAAGTTGATGTCAATAATTGACGTCTTTTCATCTTCCATTCCTCGGCTTTCACTCGGGCACTTCTCACAGCTGAGGAACACTATTATGAGTTCTGCTAGCCTGATCAACTCGGCCACTCTTTACTTTTCAATTCTCAATGGCCCTTGATGATGGAAGACGGAAAAATGTAAATCTTCCAATCAAATTACTAGCTGCCACAAAAGCAATGGCAAATGAAAGACGCCAGTGGTAATGATAATTTATTGGGTTTAGTACCATCAGCACACTTCTAATTTCTGGCTGAACTAACGAAGAAAACACCTTAACGTTAGCGTAAGCACAAGGATTCCAAAATAGTAGGTGCTGTTTATAAAGAGCAACTCCGGTGTTTACTAACAACTAGTCTCATTTATTAATAATTGAAATGAACGCCAGTTCGAACTCTACCAACTCTACTAAAGTTCCGAGTTCATTCAGAGCCGTCTTATCAATCAACAGAGGCAGATGTTGAATGCTTCAGCAAATTGAATCTTCTAAATTAAGTCAAGTCGAGTCTGACAAGTCTGACTGACTGACGGCAAAAAACTTCTGGTGCGAAGAGTCATCTGACAAACACTGCCTAGAGGAGTACTTGTGCTAATTTGCCATTCACTGGCGCTGATCGATCAAAGAAAATATCAACTTCTTGACAGAAAAAAGACACAGTTCAGAATAACTCAATGAACAATCGGCAATTTGACGTGGATCACAACTTTAGCATTGGTTTAATGTAAAAAATTGGTTCACTAGTTAAATTAAAATGGAATAATAATAATAGTTGATTGGTTATCAAACATGATTGGTGGTAATAAAAATGTATAATAAATTGTGTATATAAAGAAGCTAAATTGGGCAAAGTTCGAGGTGTGAGTAACTTCTTCGAGTCTTGCGTGTTGACTGCATGAGAAGATGTGTGTGTGTTTTCGTGAAACCTAAAGTTTATACAATATTGAAATTGCATAATAAATAAATTCAAGTTCTCAACATAGCAAGCAATGTCTTTAAATTAAAATTCGTTTAAAAGCAATAAAAAAGTGGCAAAGGAGATGGAGAGATGTTCAGAGGAAATAATCCGGCTGTGGCTTTTTCGATGGTATTCCTCGCGTTTCCTGCTTGAAAATGTCAAATGCAAGTTAGCTAAGGTTGTCGTTAGAAAAGCGATAATATACCTGAGGAGCAGCTTCGAAAATGGTGAACTCGCGACCCAAGTTTTCGTCAAGTTCAAGTATCGCGGCCACGTTGCCACAGCGATAGCAGTAGTTGGGAGCAGACCAAACAGTTAAGACGGACTCGTTAAAGTGCCACTTGTAGCCTTCCATGACAAGTTGGTGAGCGCGGCAAATCATCTCGAGATTGTTGGTAGCATTGAATTGCTGCACAACATCGGAGCCAAATAAAAAGCCAGCTCCTCGAGGCGACATGCCCCAGCCAGTAGTCTCCTCAGGGTCGGACCAAAGGAGGTCGCACATCGGGCCGTCATGAGGAACTTCTTGCTTTCGGTCAATTATGCGAATTTCATCCAGTGTCTGAATCGAAGGAGAAAGGCCACCGTGAACACAGAATATCTGGAATTAGGATAAAATGGATGTAGTAAATGAAAAACTCTTGATTCAAAAAAATAGCCCACACCTTTCCATCGATAATGGCAGATAGCGACAAGTAATCAAAAACTTCTGTACAATAGCGCCAGACAGTTGAAGTACCGTACTTTCGTAAACACTCATCGTAAAAGCCATACACCTGAGTGATTTGACGAGATTCATGATTTCCTCGAATCAGAGTTATTCTGTCAGGGTATCGGACCTGAGAAAGAACAGGAACATAATTAAAAGAATGAAAAATATCGTTTTTCTAAACTTACTTTCAAGGCAAGTAAGAGTAGAAAGGTTTCCACTGAATAAAATCCACGATCGACAAAATCACCCATAAAAAGATAGTTTGTTGTAGGGACATCACCGCCTACTTTGAAAAGTTCCTTGAGATCATAGAACTGTCCGTGAATATCACCGCAGACCTAAAAATAGTGTACGTTCTGTAAATATTATTGTTGAAAGAACTGAGTAGAAGCACTTACAGTAACAGGAGCATCAACTCGCTGAACATTTGACTCTTCAATCAATATTTCACGGGCTTTGGAGCACAAGCTTTTGACTTCACTTTCGGTGATGATCTCGCATCGTCGAAGTTGCTCAATCTGTCTATCAAGATCAGAATAACTTGGGCCACTCACAACAGGAGAATCATTAAAGATGGAAGTCGTTGACTTGAGAAGAGTCACTTTCTCCGGTGAAAACGATTCATTGCTGTTGCTGTTAGTGATGTTTATATCGTTTTCTTGATTCTCAATCGGGAGATCTGCAAATGATATAAAGCTGTTAGAAAGGGGAAATACTTGCCGAATAAGCATCAAATAAACAAACCTATGTGGTTTTCAGGCCCATTCGAGATGGTTGTGGTCGATTCTTCGCATGAAGACATCTCTTCGCTCAGTTCAAAGGATTTCATTTAGGTTATAAGTTATTGATGATAGTGCAGCATAAATAAACACATAGGATGTGCTTTGATGGAGGCTGGACAAATTACAACAACAATTGCGCCTCTGAAATGAGCAGCAACAAAATCGGGCGGAGTGACGACGTTCGGAGAAACGCAAAGTTGTGGCTTCCTGCCTTCCCAGATGTCAGTTTGCGAAAATGTGTCAACTAATCTTGAGCTGGTGTTGCGCTAAAATGGGCGATAGTTTGAAACGATGCGGCTTAAAGTACAAGAAGCACAACCAGCTTAGAAAAAAGAATTTTGAGGCCGGACAAAAACACTGTCGACGAACTCAAAGCAAATCACTTCACCAGCATTGCTACCTTAGGTGGTCGCTGCTGTGGAAACAGACATCGTTTTTGATTTTTTTCTTTTTTATACTGATGATTTATCTCGCTTCTAAAACAATATTCAAGTTATTTTGTCAGGTAGATTATCACTGACTTTGGGCTTAAAACTGATAAAAATGTCCAGAAACTCAGCCTTTTCTAAATAATTAAACTTTGGAAAGGTTGCTCAAGAAGAGCGGCATTTCTGCTGCTACTGCAGCAGCACTCTACTGAAGATGCCTACAACTGTTTGTCAGTGTTTTAGTGACAGTTGTTTTTCGCTAATCAGTCAGTCATAGTTGACTCACATGATCATGTCTCTGACGGAGTCATTGCAGCGCAACATCAGTTACGGTGTTTTACAGTTGCAGTAAACCAGTCAGGTTAAGGAGTGGACTGCGCCAGCTTGGAGCACACTTTTGCCGAGAGCAGGGAACTGCAAGATTTTTCGGGGGGCTCTACTTTCCCGATTTCAACTGTCCACCGCTGAAGTGGTAGAAGAGCAGAGCACTACCACAACTGGGGAAATTGTGCCCTCTTGTTGCCCTGGTGTCCCTGCAAACTGTCACCCTCTTTCACTCTCCAGCGATTGCCGCCGCCGCCAGCAGCAGCAGCATCAGTAGCACCAGCAAAGNAGCGCAACATCAGTTACGGTGTTTTACAGTTGCAGTAAACCAGTCAGGTTCAGGAGTGGACTGCGCCAGCTTGGAGCACACTTTTGCCGAGAGCAGGGAACTGCAAGATTTTTCGGGGGGCTCTACTTTCCCGATTTCAACTGTCCACCGCTGAAGTGGTAGAAGAGCAGAGCACTACCACAACTGGGGAAATTGTGCCCTCTTGTTGCCCTGGTGTCCCTGCAAACTGTCACCCTCTTTCNACTGTCCACTGCTGAGTGGTAGAAGAGCAGAGCACTACCACAACTTGGAAAATTGTGCCCTCTTGTTGCCCTGGTGTCCCTGCAAACTGTCGCCCTCTTTCACTCTCCAGCTATTGTCGCCGCCGCCAGCAGCAGCGGCATCAGTAGCACCAGCAAAACAGAGTACCGGCCGCGGATCGGTGTGCGCCTGACCAGTTGAAACTTGAATTTCCCACCCGCGGTCGTTCCATTTGCCGCGACACCCAGAGGTAGTGCAACGGCAGTGGTTGCTGTTCGGTTTTCCCCAAACTACAGGCGTTCACCCTCGTCTTTTGTGCTTCTCCTTCACCCTCTTACCGTACACTGTTATCACCAGTGAAAACATGAAGAATTAAATGCACAGCACAACAACGCCACCTTCGTCATTTTTCAGTGACTCAGTAGTAGTATCAACATCCAATGCGTCCATCCTTTCACTCTCGCTCCCTCCAAACCACCGAAGGCGCTCGCACACTGCGAGCCATTGCAAATCTGTAGCATATCCTCTTGCTATTCTGGTCAAAAAGAAGAGACTTGACAGCTTTCACTAACGCACCAGTCCGCACCCCTGTCAAATTGAGCTTACTGTAAAGAGAAGAACGTCGTTTGTTCAAACTCTGCTTACACGTCCATCTTGTCACAATGGGAAACATCAACACAACAGGTCCTAATGAAGCCTTAGTAGTCTCAGGTAGGTGATCAAGGTGTTCATCATTTTATTTTTATTGCAATCATTGCTCATCACAATGGAATGTATGCTTGTGTTGTGCTGGGATATGACAAATCGTAAAAGATGAAATAGAGATCGCGATAACAAGCCAGTTCTGTTGCATCACTTGGAGTAGCCTCCATGGTCGTCGCCAACATGCTCATAGCCACCATGCATGTCGTGTCCCATCTCGTAGCTGCCCATGTCATAGTCCATCTTATGGGCGTCGTAATGGTGGTAGTGGGGCTCGTGCTTCTTCTTGCAGGGATTTACTATGATGAGGTTACCTTTGCTTCGTTTTTTGAGCAACACCTTAGGACTGTGGCACTTATGACCATAGTAGTTGTTGCCTTCAACAACTTGCGCTATAAAACAAAAGAAAGTTACAAGGACCAGAGCGAAGAGTGAAATTTTAACTGGTTTCATTTTGCTATCAGTTGTCTTGTCAGTTTCTGTAAGGCTGTTGAATTTGACTTGTAATCTCGAGGCCACAGGTGGCTTAAATACTAAACAAGACACGAGGTTTCTCTTCTTTAGCAAGGCTTTCACCAACTCGGGTTCAAGTTTCGTGCATTATTGATCTGTTTCACACTCTCTCTGGCCGTTGCCTGTTGCTTCCCAAGTGTTTATACTTTTAGATTATTTGCATCCATTATCTTTTGCAATCAGGCTGCAGCCCTTTCGTGTCACATACACTTTTGACACTTGTTTTCAGTAATTATAAACTGAGAAATACCTGTAAAGTAGTTAGCAATTACCGACTAACCTTTAACTTGTTGCAATTAGTCGGTTAATTATCCACTTCTACAACATAGTGTTACTTTTCTTCTATACTTACCTGAATACACGTGCTAATGATTAACTTTGTAACATTTTTTATTTAAGGTGGCTGCTGCACTTCAACTAAAAAGACATTTGTCGTTGGAGGCTGGGCCTGGTCTTGGTGGCTTTTGTCCAATGTTCAACGGTTTGTGATACTTTTGTTTTTGATTTATACTTTAAAAATAACATTAACTTTGTTTAGAATTTCGCTCGAAACGATGACACTGACGCCGAAGTGTGTCAATGTAGAGACTTCCGAGGGAGTTCCCCTGACGGTCACATGTATTGCCCAGTGCAAAATAATGAACGAAAAAGAACTGCTGACCATTGCCTGTGAACAGTTTCTCGGCAAAACTGTTGAGCACATTCACCAGGTTGTTCTGCTCACTCTTGAGGGCCATCTTCGCGCCATCCTAGGCACCATGACTGTGGAGGAGATTTACCGCGAGCGCGACCAGTTTGCCCAACTCGTTCGAGAGGTTGTAGTTTTCTTTGCATTTTGCTTGAACTATTTCTTATTTATGTCTTTTCCAACTTGTCTAGGTGGCCACCAATGACGTCGGAAGAATGGGTAATTACACTTTCAACAAGTTATTACTTTAATGTTTGTTCGCCATTTTTAATTCTTTTGACTTCATCAATAGGAATCGAAATTCTTTCCTTTACCATCAAGGTTTGTTTAAAGTTGATCTTATATGAGTTAAATAATTTACTAAATGCTTTTTACCAAAGGATGTATTTGACTCTGTGGAATACTTATCTTCCCTTGGAAAGACAAAGGTACTGTTGTAATGGTTTAAACTTGTTTGAAAATCTAATTTATTTCAAATTCGTCAACGCGCAGACTGCCGAAGTCAAGCGCAATGCTGCCGTCGGAGTGGCCAATTCTGAGCGTGATGCTGGAATTCGTGAATCAGAGTGTCAGAAGGCTGCAATGGACATCAAGTTTTCGGCTGATTCTAAAATTGAAGATTCTACCCGCCAGTTTCTGACTCAGAAGGCTCAGTACGACACCGAGGTGAACTACAAGAAAGCCGATGCTTCTTTGGCCTACGATTTGGAGTCTACTCGCATCGATCAGCAGATTGCTTTCGAAAAGAAGCAAATTGATCTGGTTCAGCGTAAGAAGCAGATCATCATTCAGGAGCAGGAGAACACTCGCATTGAAAAGGAAATTCAAGGAGACATTCGCCTGGTGGCTGACGCACAAGCACATGCGATCAAGGAGAAGGCGGCCGGATCAAAGAGCAAAGTTATTGCCGAAGCTGAAGCCAATGCCCGAAAGTTGCAGATCATTGGTGAAGCTCAAGCTAGAGCCATCGAAGCGAAAGGTCTGGCAGAAGCTGAAGAGATGCGAATCAAAGCGGCTGCCTACAAGCAGTATGGCGATGCTGCTATTCTGGCTCTCACCCTCGACTCTCTGCCCAAGGTCTGCTATAAACTACATTTCATTATATTCATTTACTATGTAAAATCTGCCTTTTTCTACAGATTGCTGCCGAAATTGCTGCCCCACTTTCAAAGACGGACCAGATTGTTCTGCTGAGCGGCGACACTGGTGATCTGAACAAGATTGCTGCCCAGGTTCCGCCGGCTATTCAAGCTCTGACTGGCCTTGAAATCGCCAAGGTTTGTAGTCAATATGTTGTTTATTAGTTTTTAAAAACAGTTGTTTTTTCCAGGTCTTTCAAAAGATCGCTGTTTAGTTGGTCTACCGGAAATCATCTATTACAAATACAAAATCAAGCTGACCTTACCCTTGACATACAACTCCATTTGCCAATTCAAAGAGTATTCTAAATTTTTTAATATGGAAAACTTTATTTTTTCTAGTCTTGTTATGTTCTGTTAAGTATTCACAGATTATCTGCTCATGCTGCCATCATTTCCTGGTTTTATTATTTTTTTACTATTACGATTTTATTTTTCTACCCTTTTTCAAATCTGTCCCCCTACTTATAACAGTTTGTATCGCTACAATATGACTAAAATTTGAGCCACCAGGACGAACGCATAATAAAAGTAAATATTTTTACACACCCGTTGCTTATCTATTGGAAATGCATTAGCAATTGATGCATTATCAAGTTGCTCCCATCAAATGGCACTTCAATCCTCATTGCAATGTTGTCACGTAAAAAGATGCGTTTTTCTTGTTGAGGAACTCTACTTTACTCCGACACACTGAAATCTGCCCTTAATTTACCCAAAACAACTGAAGATGACACCAATTTTCTTTCTTCTGGCGGCCATTTTCAGCCAACTTTCGCTGATTGACGCCAACTGCACAGCAGCCCCCGGAAGTTTGCACCGAAACATGGCTCGCCTGTTGTACAGTGTTCCCGATTCGCCCGCAAACACCGAGCCGATCGACATTAAATGCAGTGCCATCATTCTCAATTCCTTCTGGCTCATGTCACCGGCCAGTTGTCTCTTTGACCACAGCAATCCTGCTCTGTACAAGATCAAGGTGCACAGTCCTGATGGCAGCATGGACCCCAAGTCATCACCACTAGTTGCGAATAAGGTATATATTATTGCTGTTGATAGCCCTATAAAACAACCGATTCTCATTTAGATTATCAGAAATCCAACGTTTAACAACGAGCTCGGTGCTGGCTACGACTTTGCTCTGATCAATGTGCTCACTAAAATGACCACTGAATGTTCTGTTGAGCTTCATCAAGAGCAAACGTTTGACAAGTGTTACTTGATAAGTTGGTCTGAAAAGGAGAAAAAGTTTCTAGACAAGCCAATCACCGTAGAGGTGAAACCGGACTCGTGCCAGTTTGCCAAGCACATAATCACCAATGATGCCGTTTCCCGTCTGGTAGAGTGTGCACAAGGAACTGTCTGCAAAGGGCAGACTGGTGCTGTCATTCTCTGCAATGGCATGACACAGAGTGACTCTCACAACTTCTACCTGCGAGACATTTCCTCCTGGGCAGACACTTTCTGTGCTACCAATACGGCCAACTTTTACACTAAACTATCGCCATACTTTCAGTCAATCAACAGAACTATATCACTGTAATAAATGACTACTACAATAAAGATCTATTGAGATTAATACTTTATTTAAAACAAATCACAACTGTTAAAATCACAAACTGATAATGGAATACTGTGAACTTATAAAGAGGCAAGTGGAATCAGAGTAGAATTATCGAGAACATAAGGTTAATCCATTGAATGAATGACATCATCACAGTTGAGTGAAACAAGTGGCACAAATTGAGATGAGTTGAGATGCAAAAACATGCTCTGAAATGGAGGGTAGCGATCCAGTGTGCGCCGATTGCCAATGATGATCAGTTTCTTCTTGGCACGAGTAACGGCCACATTCAAGCGTCGTTCGTCTTTGAGAAGCTCTGAATCGACAATGGTTGACAGACTGGACGGCTGTGAATCGTAACTGTCCAGCAAATCATCGGAGCTCTTCACACAGGAGTAGATGATCACCTCCTTGTCGCGTCCTTGGTACTGGTCGACGGTGTTGATTTCAATGTGCTTCTCATTGACAATCTCCGCGCCAATGACCTCCTTGATGTGCGCGACCTGACGTTGAAAGGGGGAGATGACACCGATGTCGGCACCGGTAAGACCGCCCTTGCCGTAGATGCTGAGCAAAGTTTGAATCAATCGCGATATAATAATCGCCTCGAAGTTGTTATAGACGTAGCCGCCGATGCTGCTTTTCGTTGGAGTCGAGAGATTACCACCGGAATCAGTAGGCGATTTGGGAGCACTGTTTTCGACAGCCTTTGCAATTCCGCAAGTGTCCATGAATATGACTGCGTCATCAAGAGAGGCGCTAATGGCTTTGCTCAGGTACAGACTAGTGCCTTCCTGACTGAGAGTGTCAGTATTTTCCGGCTTCAAGAAGTGATTCAGAGTGGCACGTTCAATTTCATCATTGGCACAGCGAAGTTTTCCTGAATAGGTCAACTTGTTGGCAAGGGCCATGATGGTGAGATTCATTCGATACTGAATAAAGAGAGGAAATATGCGAACGCCGTCAATCTGGTTCACATTTTGCTTGCTGACGTAATCTTCAAAACGCTCAAACGTTTCCGCCGTATCGCCACTGGCAAGAATGTTCTCTTTATCTGCAAACTTCAGTAGGCGCGCAAAGAGACTTTCCTCCAGACCATTTTTGCGAGCAAATGGATTTTGAATTACTGGCGGCAGTTGCTTTTGGTCTCCAACTAAAACAAAGTTGTTTGCCCGATAGATTGGCCCCAAAGAGGTAGCCAGGAAGACTTGACTGGCCTCATCGAGAATGCAAAAATCAAACTGACGCTGGGCGAATATGGGATGACTATCAATTCCGAGACAGGTTGCAGCAACGATGGGCACCGACCTGTAAAGCGACTCCAGGGAAGCAAGGTCACCCTTTTCAATGTAGTCTTTTGTGCGGAAGCTGTCCGAATACTCCTTGAGCTGTGAATGAATTCGCTTCATTGAGCCGACTCGCAAAAAGTCCGTATAAACTGGATCGTCGACATTGGCTTTGGCCAGTTTCAGCAAAATGTTATCCACAGCCACATGCGTGTAGGTGGTGACCAGAACAGAGAAGCCCAGTTGAACCAGAATTTGAAGCAGTGCGACAATCGTTGCTGTTTTTCCTGAACCGGGACTGCCAAAAATAAGTGAACAGCGAGTTTTGAGGACTCCGAGAATGGCCCTTCTCTGCTGAGGGTTCAGATGGCTGAGAACTGGCGATTCAAAAATCTTTGAGAAAGACGATATTTTGCAGGTGTTGATGTTGTGCTCCGGAAAGCGACCTCGAATGACAATGTCTCGTAGTTCGCGACAGCGTTCATCTTCTGGGCTCATGAGACGAAGAATGTTTGAAAAGTTTATAGCCATTGGACGATTGCTCAGGTTCTGGAGAAAGTCAATGCGAAACACAGCGTTTGAATTGAGTCGGTTAAGTTGTTCCTTCTCTAAAACAATTTCGATGACACTGTGTTCATTTGAAAATCTGTTAACAGAACCAATAGCGACGCAAAGCTGCTTGCAAAAGCTGCCATAGAGTTCGTAAGTCTTCAGTGAACTGACTAGCTCCTCACTAATGACAACACGTCGATCTTCAAACAAAGCATAGTTCACAGTGGCATCCTCGTTGGCAGTCAGCAGTTTTAGAGGTAGCATCTCAGTGGCTCGAGAAGAACGAGAAAAAGTGACCTCACTATTACCTTGAAACTTGATTTGCATCTTACTTAGGCCAATCAATGAGCGTTCACAGTCCTCTGAACGAATATTCCAAAAGTGCGCCGATTTTTCCGAAGTAATCGCATGCTGTTTTTCGACTTCAAGCAATGTGATGCAATCAGTGAAGAATTTAAAGTCATCAGGGGACAGATGTGCAGTTGCAGTGGTAGCAATTTCAAAGTTTTGATTGTTCAGCAACTTCGAATCAAAGCACTTGTAAGTTAGAGCACAATCGAGCTGATGCTCGCATCTTTCACAGCTTCGAGTGTTATACGTTGGTTCAGGACCTTTGACCACCAAGTCGTTGATTTGGAAAAACTCCTTAAAAGAAGCGTTGCTGAATCGATCGTAGAAGCGAACAAATTTGTTTCGCATAACCATAATATCTCGAAAGGTGTTGCGATTTCCCTTAACAAGCTCGGTTTTTGTTTCGTCTTTTAGGTACACTAGGTAGCCATCAATCGACTTCAAATGCGGATGCTTTTCGGCCATAATTGCTGAATACAGGATCACCTGGCCACTGTGCTGAGCTGAGAAGCTGCTTTTGCCAGTTTTAAGTTCGAGTGGAACCAAGCTTCGAGTTGGCACTTTTATGGACAAGTCTCGGGGAATAATTTCAAGAGTAACGTCGATCTTTCCAATCAGTCCATAGCGGGTTGACCAAATTGAATTTTCAATATCGTAAAGACGCTGAATAAGAAACAATCTCTTGTCATTAAAACTTTTGCTGAGATACGTTTCAAGCCAGTAAGAGATGGATTTGATGTACGGCTGAATTTCGCTGATAAGGTCAGCTTGCGACATCCCGAGTTCATACAATGTCAAAGTAGCGCTGTTCAGTAGATTCTTTTTGAAGTACTCGTCAACTTCGCTTACAGAGAGTTTGTTCGCACGAAGACATTCTTGAAATAGTTCATGAACAATGTTGCCGATAAGAAAGGCTTTACAGGCATCGCCACCTCCCTGGTACACACGTGAGAGCCACGCTTTTCGCATACAGTAGCTAGAGTTCATCAAGGCGGTAGTGGAGATGAGCATATCCGGCTGGACGACAATTAATCCGTTGTCATTGTCAACGATCAAAGTAGCCAAGACCTCGGAGGCGTCATCTTTAGGCTTCTCTTCGATCGGATCAAGAACGTTGACCGTGTCGCCGACTTCAATACCCAGCTGCGACCAGTACCAGTTTCCACGGACAAAGCACTTGTAGCGATCCACTTGGTCATTGATTGAAAGGGTGGTCACCAGGTCCAGCTCCACTTGCTGCTGGGCACTATCGGTGACAGCTTTAACGACAAAGAAGCGTTTTGGGAAGCGCTTTTGACTGGCCATCCTTGGGAGCGATCCAGCAGGGATGGAGTCACACGTGAAAGTGACGCAAGGCGAGAAAGTAGCGCCGAAAAGACAGCCAGTAAACAGATCGACGGTGCTCAAGCGCAGTGCAAATAGCCTACACGAGCCACGTGCTTCGAGAAGTTCATCAGAACACACACACACACAGAAAACAGCTGCATTCGGCTTTTCTCAAATCAGTCTTCTGTTCCAGGAAGAATCCAGAATTCAGCAAACATGGCACGCAACAAGATGAGCGTCAAGGCAAGAAAGAAGCGAGCTCTTGCCTACATGACTCGTGGACAGGCGCTGCGAAAATTGCAATTGCCTCTCAAGGATTTCAGGTTTGTTGTGTTGAGCATTGTTGGAGAATCTTCTAATCCATTCTTTGTGTCATTCGCAGGCGACTCTGCATCATCAAGGGAATTTACCCAGTTGAGCCGAAAAACAAGAAAATAAATCCCACTTCGCAGACGCGCACCTACTACCTGCGAAAAGACATTCAATTCTTAGGCCATGAGCCAATTATTTGGAAGTTTTGGGACTTTAAGGTAACTTTTAAACACACTAAAAGTTGACATTGTGATATAATTGTATCCTTTTGCAGATTTTTATGAAACGCATTGCTAAAGCAAAAGGCCGAAAAGATGCTGAATCTGTCAAGCGAATTCGCGAAAATAAACCATTTTACAAACTGGACCACATTGTCAAAGAGAGGTAAAGTTGATTAGTTCTGCTGACATTTTGTTTTGTATGCTGATGATTTCTTATCGTTTTAGGTACCCTACATTTATCGATGCCTTGCGAGACTTGGACGATGCTCTGTCAATGTGCTTTCTGTATGCAAGATTCGGCAAATCAAAGCTTCTTCCGCTGGAAATGATTGAGCTGTCTCGCCGACTGACCTTGGAATTTATGTACTACGTTATGGAGACAAAGTCATTGCGGCGTGTTTTCATCTCCATCAAAGGCTACTATTACGAAGCCAATATTATGGGTCAAAACATTCGCTGGGTCGTCCCGCATCACTTTGTGCTCACTGTAAGTTCCTCTAAAAGATGCCCAACCTTGCCATTCTAGAACAATTTTTTTTGTACCGTTTTAGCGCGTGCCAGATGTTGACTTTCAAGTGATGAAAACATTTACCGAGTTTTATATTACCCTTCTGGGCTTTGTCAACTACAAGCTCTACACTTCCAATTCGTTTTGCTATCCACCAAAGGTATGTTTTATTATGATTTTTCTTTATTTCAAAATTAATTTTTTATTATCTTTTAGATTTACGAGTCGAAAAGCGTGAAATCAATTGGCGATGCTAATGAAAAAGATGTTGAGGAAGAAGAGGAAGCAGATACCGACGAAGCGATTGCCGCTTTGAATGCGCCTCTGTTGGGCCATCAAGGCAACGTTGTTCTCGACGAGCGACAAAACATCGACAATTTTGAAGGCGAAGATGACGAACCGGCTAAATTCGGTTCAGCCGTGCTTACTTTCCACCAGCTTCAAAAGTTGCAGGCACTTTTCGCAGGAATGAAGTTTTTCATCAATCGTGAAGTGCCACGCGAATCACTGTGCTTTGCCATTCGCTCATTCTCTGGCGAAGTGTCTTGGGACAAAACACTCTTTCCTGGTGCCACTTTCAGTGAAGACGACGAAACAATTACCCACCAAATTGTTGACCGAGATGACGTGCCGAAAAAGTACCTGAACCGGTATTACATTCAGCCGCAGTGGGTTTTCGATTGCATCAACGCTCGAGCACTACTTCCTGTGCAAAACTACTTTATGGGCGCAAAACTGCCGCCGCACATCAGTCCTTTTGTGGAGGAGAAGCCGGGCGACTACGTTCCACCAGAAAAGCTGGCAATGCTTGGACTTAAAGATGATGTCGAAATGGAAGAAAGTGAAAACGAAGAAGAGGCGAACGACCAACAGAACGCTGATGAGGAAGATGAAGAGGTAAAAACAAAGTCTACTAAACAGACTAAACAAAAGGATAAGGTGCCGGTTAATGGAAACAGTGCCGATGGACAGACTGTGGTTCGAAAGGGTCAGTTGAGCAAGGTCAACAAAGCCTGGCAAGAGGAGAATCTAAAGAACGAGGAGAAACGACTGAAGGTGATGATGATGCCAAAAAAGAAAAAGCAACTGTACACTCGAATTGTAAAAAGTATCAAGCACAAAAATCGCGACGCTGAGAAACTGAAACGCAAGCGCGATGATTATGACCAACAAACGAAGAAATCGAAAAAAGTCTAGCCCCTTTCTTTGATTACATCTTTTTTGTTTCCCGACTTTCTATGTAATTTATTATATTAACGAGTGTTTAATAAAAGGGAAATGAAAAGAATGATCACAATTGGTATAAGTAGGTAAAGTAGTGTTCACAGAATTTACCGGAAAGCTCAAAGTATGAGTGATGTAAACGTTATGGCAGTTAGGTTTTAGGTAGAAAACTAGTTGAGTAGAGTTGTAGCGAACTCCTCCCTCATTCCGAGTCGGAACCTGGTTGGTCTTGCACTGGGGAAAGCGAGAACGCAGTTATCGTGGAGGAACTTTGTGAAAAAGTTTGTAAAGGATTAGCAGGCGCATTGCTTGTGACTGATGATGATTGGCTTAAAAACAGTTTCGGAGAGGAAGGCTGCTGATGGTGAACAGGTGAACTGAGTTCTAATGAATTTGGAAGATTCGCGTCATTTCCATTTGGGTTCACTTGCTCGTTTTCTTCGAGGTTGGATTCTGTTCGACAATGAGCCAGCTCTTCAATTGAGACAAAATGGTCAGTGTTAATGTTGAAGTTTTTCCGTAAATATTGCTGATGATCAAATTTTTCAAGCTCTTGCTGTTTATTCCTGAATCTAAATTGGGGTTGTCTTTTTGAATTTACAAGTCGCTTTATAGCATCAAACCGGTTGTTCATAACTTGGGTAAACTCGGCGTTGTTGTCTAAAATGGCAGAGTTAAGAGTTTTAATAATTTGACTTGCAGCAGTTGACTGAGTTGCACTGCTCTTTGAAAAACTATTGTCTTCCGTATTTGTTTCCCTCTGGTGTTTCTTTGCCACTGCTTTTTGCTTTCTAGGTTTTTTGTTGATTTTTGATTGCTGATTTTCTTTTTGTTTTTCATAGTTATCATCAGACACTATTGACTCATAGCGATACTTGCATTCTTCTTCAGATCGTTTATAGGGGCTGTAAGTGTTGACCTGTTCTGCAACAAAATCCCAATTAGGAGTATATCCCGGATGGATGGTACTAAGGTTGCAGGGTAATTCTTGAAGATAGAGAAGTGCTTTTATCATGGCCATGTCTTCTTGCATGAGCCAGCGAGAACTGCGAGAAAGATTTACTTGCATTGATTTCTGCTGAATGTCTGAAGAACTTTGAAGACGCTTGACATTCTGAAAACTCTTACTATTCGGAGCTGTAAAAATAAGGCTGGAACATCCTGGCCACAAATTAAATTTGATCAAAAGCTGATCTTTACAAAGGTGGATGTGAGAAGAGTTTGTGCGTTTAAAAAACGACTTTAAATTTTGAAACAAGTCGCCGACATTTTCTTTAAAAAACATTTCACTGATAAAGCCAGTCTGAACATCTTGTGGTGCTTGCAAAGTTCCGACTTTATTCACTGTTTTTCTTCGCTTAAAACCTATAAAATCAGATAATAGAGAAATGACATATCATGGCAAAAACAAACAAACTTACCATTTGAAGT